TTTGAGTATTCGACGCCTAATTGCTGAACAGGAATGTTGCATTTTGGACGAGTTCCATGGATCGGCCAATGAGTCGAATGAGGAGAAAGGATCAGAGACTAGAGAATGGCTGGTTAAAGCAAAAAGGGCTGAGGATCAGCTCTCGAAGTTTTTGGTCAAAGCAGCTCAAGTTCAGCAAATGGTGCAAGAAAATACCGCGCTCGAGGCAGCAGAGGAGGTTGAGTTCCTGCAAACAAAAACAATTCCTACACAAGAAGCCATGCAAGAGCTGGAAAAGTGGAGGGAATCATTGTCGGACGAGGTGACGTCTTTGGTGAAAGAGTTGGAGGTGGTGGAACCAACAACTCAAGAAAAGCTGGACAAATTGGCGGAAGAGCCTAATGCACCGGTGATTGAGTACGTTCCCAGTCTGGTGGTGTTTACCCGGAAGCAAGGGACAGGGAGGCGACGTGCCCGTATCTGTGCATGTGGAAACTTCATTTCGTCAACGGCAGCTACAGAATATGAAGGGCCGAGGTCACTCAGTCGTCACTCGTTGTACGCTCCAGGTTTAGATTCAACTACATTCAGGTGTCAAGTGAGGCACGCAGCATATATGGTGTGGATCATCGCTGGCTTAGACATTTCCAAAGCTTTTCTGACGGCGCCGATGAATAGGGCGCAAAGAGAAGGGCGTTTGGTGGTGGTGCAGCCCCCAAGGGCGGCGGTGAAATTGGGTCTTTGCACAAAAGAGGAGCGGTGGATTGTGAGGAAGGCCTTGTATGGTTTGGCCGAAAGTCCTGCAGCATGGGTGGAGTGGCGAGACCAACGTCTTCAAGGGATGTCTTGGGTGTCAAAGGATGGACAAGCAATGAGCTTTCAGAGGTCCAATGCAGACCCAAGTCTGTTCCTTATTATGGCGCAAGAGAAGCTGGAAGGTACAAGCAAGTTGGTAGGGACAATGGGTCTTTACGTGGATGATTTTTTGATGGCTGGGACTATGACAGTGCTCCGGGAGGCCTTGGAACAGATTAGGAAGGAGTGGAAAACTTCTGAACCCGAGTTCTGTGGTCCAGGCTGCGGTGATGGATTCCTGAAGTTTTTGGGTGTCCAAATCTGGTATCGAAATGGCAGCTTCTTTCTCAACCAGGAGGACTTTGTGAGAGATTTGCTGAACCGACGAGGGTATCAGATCGATGAAACTGGAAAAGGGAGTAACCTGCCAATGGTGAAAGAAACTCCAGGTGAAGAAGAGGAGGTGGATATTCCTTCCTTGCGAGCGGCTCAAGGTGCCGTAGGGGAGTTCCTCTGGGTGGCAATCAAAACTCGACCTGATTTGGCGTTCTGCACGAGCCAGTTGTCTTTGTGGACATCCCGAAGGCCGCGATTTGTGGTTAAAAAGGCTGAGGAGGTTTTCCGATACCTTGCTGCAACTCCAACGTTAGGCTTGACGTTCGGAGCAATCGCAACATGCGAAAAAGAAAGAAATGAGGTGTTGCGTTATGGACGAGGCGTTAAGGTGGTGGAGTCCTACGCGGATGCCAGCTTTGCAGCAGGTGAAAACGAAAAGAGCCACTCAGGAGCGGTGGTGGTGTGGGGTGACTGTCCAGTGATGTGGGCAACACAAAGACAATCAACGGTGGCTTTAAGTACAGCTGAAGCTGAATTACATGCGTCCATAGAGGGAGCAACGATGATTCAGTCGTGCACCCCTATAATTGCCGCTTTGGTTGGAACAGGTGAAGAATCGCTGCAAAAAGTGCTGTATACAGATTCGGTCTCAACGTGCTCGATCATTCAATATCCTGCTGGAAGCTGGAGGACAAGACACCTGAGAATTCGAGCAGCCGGTGTCAGGTCTCTGGTGGACCGTGGTTATATGGTGATAGCGCATCTTCGCGGTGAGTATATGATCGCTGACCTGTTGACCAAATTGATGAGTGGACAGGTGTATGCAAAGCAAAAGGCACTTTGGGGTCTCCGACTGTTGGTACAAGGGACTGACTTGAAAAAAGCCTCGCTTGCAATGGCGGTCATGATGGTGGCTGCATCTCTGCAAGGGATGGCAATTGGTGGCGAAGAAGTGTCCACGGCTGGATTCTTTTGCTCAGAAGAAGGGGTGTGCAAGGTCGCCAACACGTCTACGGTGATGGTTCTGGCTCAAGGTATTGAAATGGTTGTCAACAATTCAGACCTTGTTGCATATTTGGTGGCAGCAATTATACTCTGGGAACTGGCATGGTGCCTCTTTCGACGGCTGTATAAATGGCTGTGGATAAAGAAAGCGGTGGTTATTCCTGCGAGTGCCACTTTGTATACAACAGTGGGTGGGAACTGTATGCACGCAAGCAGTGACTGTGATGTTCTGCGATATTCACAACTCAGGGCTAAAACGCTTTGTAAGCATTGCCTCAAGGATGGCTGGGTGGTGAATGCTGAGTTCCTTGGTGAGGAACGGGCCGCTGGAACGTGAATTTTCCAAGTGCGAGGTGAAGAAATCCTCAATGGTAAAGGATTCAGCCAATGAGCTGAAGGTTCGTCCTGGATGACGTTAAACCATAATATGCATTTCAAGCAGCTGGCTGCTGCCTAAATGGCGGTTTTTGGCCAAAGATCTGCACCTCCAATGTGTCCTAGGAAATCCTAGGACAGGGGGAGTGCGGAGCTGCAATTGGTATTGTAGAAAGGAGTTGGTATTGGAAGTTGAAGGGTCAATGAACCCGGTAATCTTTGGCTCAAGCCATGACCAAAGCGGTCGAAGGTTTCGTAAAAAGTGTACCCTTGGTTTGGGGTCTTGCTGTTCGGTTGTTGGTTGTTCCAGGGGTAATAAGGGCTTCTGTTGGGGTTGACTGTCTTGTTCCCTGTCCTCCTTCGGTTGCCCCCCGTTTAGGGTTTAGGGCTTTCGGGCGCCCGGAGCTCGAGAGTTTTTTTTCCTGCATCTCCTGCGCCCCTCGCACGAGTTGAGGATGGCAGCTGATTGCAGCAACGCTGACTTTGAGCCCTTGGGTTGCCCAGAGGTTTAGCGCCATTTAGCCGGAGGGTTGCCGGGGTTTAGGGTTTAGGGTTTAGGGTTTAGGGTTTAGGGTTAAAGCATGGATGCAAAAAAAGGGTTTAAGCCCAGGTTCAAAAAGGGTTTAGGGTATAGGGTATAGGGTTACTTGAGAGACTCCTTGTTCGAACAAAAGTTGAGGGCTCAGGGTTTAGGGTTTCGAAGTTCTACCGGAAGAGAAGTTCCTTGAGCTCGGGCTCTGTGCTTGTTGCGCTCGGTTTCAGAGCATTGGTGCAAGCAGGGGCTTGAAGGCCAAGAAGGCCGAACCCAGCTTGGTACCCGGCTCTTGAACAGACCCTGAATGCTTTGGGTCTTTGGGCTTGGGGCTGTACCCTGCTTGATGTTTAATGGTTGGGGTTTATATGTTGTGGTATTCTTGCACAGCGATACAAGCTTGGACTCAGGGTCTACTCGCGGTTGACGCGCCCGAACTTTGGTGCAATTGGGCGCTTGGGCTGGCGGGCTTAGCTTTTTTTTAGCATGAGGCCGCCAGTGTGAGCAGAAAATGGCGGAGGGTTGGTTTCAGAAAAAAGGGTTTAGGGTTTAGGGTTTAGGGTTTAGGGTTGGCATGCGTCACGGGCAGTGACACATGGCACGGGCTCTCGGGAGCGCGCCGCGATGGCAAAAGCTGCTGTGGACTTAGCACAGTCCCCCAAATAGTAGGATTCCCTTCTAAGAAGGGCCCCAATAAGGTACCCCTAAACCCTAAACCCTAAACCCTAAACCCTAAACCCTAAACCCTAAACCCTAAACCCTAAACCCTAAACCCTAAACCCTAAACCCTAAACCCTAAACCCTAAACCCTAAACACCTATTTTCGTAAACCACCAACTTAGCTTCGATGCGTTCTAAGTTCGGCGTTTGGGTCGAGGTGCCGAGTTCCAGTCCCCCCACATCCTTGGTTTGTTTGCGGGTCAAAAACTTTTGTTAAAATAGTTTACGGTTTAGGGTTCAGGGTTTAGGGTTTAGGGTTTAGGGCATATCTCAAGTGCAAGTTGTGAAAGGTTTACGTTTCAGACGTGGGGTCAGCGGGAAGTGAAGTGCTCGTGAAGGGCTTCGAGCGCTCCGATGTGCTCCGATGATTTCGCGGGGGGGCCAGCACGAGACTCCCCGAAATTTTCATGGATGGATGTCTCAAATCCAAGAAGCCCACGACTTCACATGAAAAAGCCTTAAACCCTAAACCCTAAACCCGAAACCCTAAACCCAAAACCACCATCGATGTTCCAAGAGCCGGCCGGTGTAGGACACCTTGCTTCTGCAGCCCAAGGCCCTGGCTGGCTACAGATGTTGGGGTGTTGCGGTTTCAGCACTTAAGTTTCGACTACTTGCTTAAGAACTCCCCCCCAAGAATGGCAAAACAAGCCTCCATATAAGGGCAATCTATTGGATTTCCTTTTTTTTTTTTTGGGTGGGGGGGAGGGGGGGAGGTTCTTGGGCAAATAGTAGGTTTGGATTGCGTATTTTTCTGCGCAGTCGAGGCTTCATGCGAGATGCGATGCGATGGGTTTTGCACTTGGCGGAAGAAGGGGTGCAGGCTTAAGCAGAACGTTGCTGTTCGCGACGTATGCGATGGTCAGCAGCAGAAGCTGGTTTTGCAAGTGTGCAGAGCCGATCATGCAAGCGGTAAAGAGTTCAGGCTTTCAGTGAGGTTTCCATACTGTACCTTCCCTGAAGAACCCTCTAAAAGAATGTGCCAGGTTCAGCGAAACCTGCGCCTCAAGGGTGTCCGACAAGAAGGTTGCCTTTCACTCAGTTGGGTTGCCAGCTGGTGTTCAGGACACGGGGAGTTCAGGCCATTTCAAGTGTTTGTGGCAGATTGAAGGTTTTGGTTTGACATGCCTAGCGGTTGAAAAGTCGCGTTCAATGTATGTAGGTAAATGCGCTGCACTGCAATATCAGGTTTAATGCCCGATGCGCGGCTCCAATACTACCGAACGCTAGAGGGGTTGGACAATGACGTGACGTTGTCATGTTTCTTAATACAGTTCGAGTGGAGGCCTTCTACGCCCAGTGCTAGTGCTCAAGAAGGCCTCCTTGTGGTAACTAAACCGGAGTTGTGCCCCTTTGGGCGCAGTTTCCAGTTGTTTTAGTATGTAAGTTCGTTTTTCGACGCCATCCCCGGCTAAACCCGAAACCCTCAGCCCTAAGTTCTAAACCCTAAACCCTAAACCCTAAACCCTAAGCCCTAAAACCCTAAGCCCTAAACCCTAAACCCTAAGCCCTAAAAGCCCTAAACTGTGTTCAAAGTGTGCCATCGCTGCGGGTCGGCCGTCGGCTCTCGAGGCTGTCCTTGCAGCAGATGTGCCTCGGAGGACGAGGAAGCGGATGAGAGGAGCCTCTGAAGTTGGGCATGTGACACATGACCACGTGATGGTCAAGGGACTCTATAAGGTATAAGTATATAAGTATCCATATAAGTATCAATGTTAACATGAATATCAATATGACAACCACACACACAATGTATATGTGCATATGTATGTGTATATTTCTACATACATACATATGGGGGTTTCAATAGGGGAACAAGATACTCGGGTTCCCTCCTCATATCACTCAATGTGGGGCTTTTTGTGCAAAAAGCGCTTTTGCCGGGATGTTGCAACCCTCGCCTCACTGAACAGTGGGAATGTGGCTCCTTGTGTAGGGACAGTCAGCTCGAGAACAGGCATTCCAGCAAAGCATCCCTAACCCCAAGCCCTGAAGGATCTGCTACCTGCTTGGGAAGATGGAGGCTGCCCTGGCGACGAGACCTCCCACGGACAGCTCCACGTCCACGGCGCAGGCGAGCAGAGGGGATCGTGGGGCCGAGAAGCCGAGGGGGGGGTGAGTTGCATGCACCGCAGCCTTTACCATAAAAGGGACGTTGGAATGGGTTGATTCTTGGAGGCACACTTAGACCCTTAAGACCTTCGGCATGAGATGTTTTTGGGGAGGCCGCAAAGGCAGCAAGGGGCATGCAAGATGCATTTTGGCGGCCTTGGCTTGTCAACAAGCTGGGCAAATTTGGGAGTCGTAGACAAACCGCTTCACCACAGCTTTCCGAACATCCAGATTCCTAATCTCATCGGAAGCCGAACGTCTCACAGTATCAGCTCGTTCTTTGAGACTCTCTAAGGGTAGCTACATGGTGCCTTAACATGGTCCCTTATTCTTTATAGGGTATATAAGGGGTGCCCATTTAGGGGCCCATATTGAGGGACCATGTAATTCCCCTTTGAGACTCATGCCGCCAACAGCCCAGCGAGCTCTACCACAAAAAACATCGCAGGAGTGCCTGAAGGAGTTGGATGAGTGGCACGCTCAGCTTGAAGTAGGGCCGAGCAGCCCTTGGTGTCCCAAGCAAGACCTGTTGCACTCCCAAGAGTCCGAGATCTTGGGTCTGAGGCCTAACTTCCAAAAGTCACGGTTTGCGTGCAGTGTTTTTTTTTTTTTTTTTGTGGGGTTGACGTGCGTTGCTGCCTCTTGGACAAGACCTGACAACGAGCACGAAACCCTCAAGCCCAACAACCCATCTCCGAACGAACTGCAAACCGGTCGCCCTAAGCAAGCCTGAAACGTTCAAGGCGGCCCGCCTGAGCCGTGCAGGATGAATAGGGTTTAGGGTTTAGGGTTCAATGGAACGGGTTTAGGCTGAATTTGAGATTGGGTGCTTGCAGGCTGCTGCCCTTCTCCATGCCGGCCAAGGTTGCCGAGGGCTGTTTCTTGCGGACCTGAGGATTCGGATGATTGAAGAGCCCTGCATGCCAGATAGCTTAGATAGCTACTCGGTTTTGAGGATGCTGCGACATGCGGCAATGAGGTAGCATGAAAGCTTGGTGCAGTAGTCGCCCGAACCTTCGAAACCCTGAGCCAAACTTCTGAGCACACGTAGGTAGAAGCGCGCAGTTCGAACAGTTGAGTCCCAGATTGCAACACACCAAAAACCAGAGACGAACATCGCCAGTCAGTCCTAACCCCCCCCCCCCTTACACGCCTAGACCTTTAAACTCACAAACGTGAGCGTCGAAGCACCAAAACAGAACGCTAACCTTGACCAGCAACACCTTCAAGACCTTTAAGCCTCGAAGCCTTAGAGTAACAGCAGCCGTGAATTCGATACTCTGGACCCTGGGCTCTTCATGTCGCAGGCCAAGGCCAAGGCGCTCCTTGCCCGGTCCTCAAGCTGGGGGGTTGTTGGGGAAGTGTGTGCGGGTTTTTGCGGTCTTTCTAAACCCCATCCCAAAACTTTAAACCCCAAACCCTAAACCTTACACCGGGTCAGGGCCGTTTAGGGTTTCGGGTTTCGACCATGCACTGCAGAGGTTCCAGGCAGCTGGCAATCGAAGCCAATTCTTGGGCACGAGCAGATTTGAAGACTCTACACGGGTTGTTGGTTTTTTCTATTCAGCTCTTCCATTTAATCCTTGTATAACATCAAGCATAGGCTACATGATCGACATTTCGCATCATTGTTCTTTGTACCACTACTCACTATTATCATTATCGTCGTTGTTTATTGTTAAGCATGTTTTAATCAACTCAGCCTGACAAACCAAGCACCCACTCGGCCCATGGAGTTCGGCTCCATCGGCTTCCCCCACAATGACCCACAACTCGCCTTACTCCATTGATCGACCTGTCTCGGCCGCTCTATCTTTAAGCAGCAAGATCCTCAGCAATCCCCTCCACCTGGATGGCTGGGCGTGGTGTTGGGGGATCAGCGCGGAAGCATGTCTGCGGGACTTGGGGCAGGACTTCGCACCCAGACGCCTACAACACCCATATTGAGAAACATGGAAGGTTCCGATATAAATGACCTGGACCTTGGCTTCAGCCCAAGGGAACTTTCCCAGACAAGCCCTGGATTGATTGGATTTTTTTTTTTTGGGGGGGGGATTGGTTGTCCCAGTTGTTAGAAGTTAGAAGATTCCGAAGTCCCATGTCTTCAGAGAAAAAACTCAACCTTCGAAGCCGAGCGAGAGAGAGAGAGAGAGAGAGAGAGAGAGAGAGAGAGAGAGAGAGAGAGCAAGCAAGAGAGAGAGAGAGAGAGAGAGAGGGCTGAGGGCCCCTCTTAAGCGTGCAGAGGAAGAAGAAGAAGGAGTTGGAGTTGAATTTCAGTCCCACCTGGTTAGCAGAATGAAGGTTGAAGATCCACACGAAGAAGCAACCGAGGGAAGCCCTTCAAGACCCAAATTCGGGAGGACCTGGGTTCTCGAGGAACCAAGATTCAGCGCCCACTTTCCCAGGCTTCTGCACAATGCGAGCTCCTTCACCGAGCTGCCTGGCAAGAGGATGGTGTGCCTTGGGGGTTGTGGAGTTCGGAACCCCAGGTGGGGAAGCAAGGGGTTTGCGCGGGGGACACTGCAGATCCAGCTCACACGAACATATGGCACTGCGACAGAGAACCAGGCCCGTGCGTTGGGAACACAGGAGTTTTTTTCCGGTTTCCCGGCAGTTTTCCAAGCCTTTGGCTGCAAAAGCCCAAGCTCGGGCACGTCGGCGTTCCACTAGCTTCGCAGGACAACAAATCTGCCCACATTATTCGCTGGCGTGGGCCTCAGAAGGCTCCAAGCTCTTTGTAGCTGCGTTTGTAGTGGGGTCGTAGTTCTTTCAAGAACTCCTCGGGAAGCCAACTTACAAGGAGAGCCGGTGCGCACAGAACGTCACAGCAACATATTTAGGTCCGCGCCTGCTGCACCCCCTACCAGTACCGAGGTGCCCAGCCGGGGCCCAGCCCCATCAGCTTTGCATGACCCCGTCAGTTTACAAAACACCATCAAAACGTCCAAGCACAATCAGAAAGTATCCCGCAAGGAGACCCAAACACCGCCAAAGTACTTGCTGTATTTTCCGAGGACTGGCCTCGACGCGGACAGCATGGAGCAGAGGCCCCGAACCTCATGAGCTGGATTCGGAGGTTGGGGGGGTTCCAGTGCTTGGCGCCGTGGGATTTGGACTGAGGGGGGGGGGCGGCTTGCGCCTTGGCACTCTACCGTCAGCACCCTAGACCCCAAACCCATCGTACCATCGAGCTCCAAAACCCCCCGAGGGCCCTCCTACAGGGTCCACGGTGTCCAACCTACACCTGGGGAGGGTGCACCGGTGTGCGAAGTACTTTCGGAGCTCAAGTCTTTTTTGGGACCCTAGACCCTAAACCCTAAACCCTAAACCCTAAACCCTAAACCCTAAACCCTAAACCCTAAACCCTATTCTGCTCTCTTTCAAGAGCCTCTAAAGGAGGCGTAGGCGGCTTAGAGTAAGAGGCTGAAGGACACGCAGAAGCTGTGCGAGACGGCTGCGAAAGACTTCCAGCTCTGGCTCGGCCAGGAGATGCCTTGAGATTCCAATTAGGGTGGGTTAGGGTTTAGGGTTTAGGGTTTAGGGTTCAGGGTTCAGGGTTTAGGGTTTAGGGTTTAGGGTTTAGGGTTTGGGGAGGGTTCTTATTGGGCTGGGTCTGCTCTGTGGGCTTTTTTGTTGCCAATTGTTTCAGTTCAACTTGAAACTTGAAACTTTGTCTGTGCTACACAAGTTGATCGCAATGTGGGCTTGAGCCACAGCGGCTCTGTGCAGTTCAAGGGGCCGAAATAAAGGCGCATCGCACAGTCTTCCATCAGAAGGGTTTTAGCTGTTCACCTTAAAGACACGGGTGGAATCCCCCCCAGGCCCCTGCCAACTCCGAAGCCAGCTGAATTATGGCTCCTGAAGTTGGGTTTAGGGTTTAGGGTTTAGGGTTTAGGGTTTAGGGTTTAGGGTTTAGGGTTTAGGGTTTAGGGTTTAGGGTTTAGGGTTTAGGGTTTAGGGAACTTCCCTAAAGTTGTGGACATAGAATGCAAACGAAGCCCGAGAACCGGGGCAGCCCCCCGAATCCGTTCTGTGAAGAGGACTTCCTACTGATCGAGGACCGCTTAGAGTCGGGACCCCCAGAGGAGTTTGCAGGATCAGGGTTTCAGAGTTCCGGGGTTGGGGTTCAGCAAAAAAGGGCATCCGCAAAAACAATGGGTTGTAGAGGGGGTTTCTGTGGATATCATGCCTATTACACTATCAGAATGCTGCCCTAAACCCTGTACCCTAAACCCTAAACCCTAAACCCTAACCCCTAACCCCTAAACCCTAAACCCTAAACCCTAAACCCTAAACCCTAAACCCTAAACCCTAAACCCTAAACCCGTCTTATGGGGGCGGGTGAGGGAGTTGGGGCGGATGAAGGAAGAGTTCTAGGACTTGCCTCGGTCGCAGCAGTCAACAGAGTGGGTTTAGGGTTTAGGCTTCTTCAAGGCGCAAAAGCCTGCGCTCCAAGGAGGGTTTAGGGTTTAGGGTTTACTGTAGGGTTTAGGGTTTAGGGTTTAGGGTTTAGGGTTTAGGGTTTAGGCGTTCCAAGGAAGGTCTACGCGCTCGTGAAGGACCAGCACGAGCTCTTGGCGAAGTACCGGCGCCAGAAGGCCGACTTGGGCATTTTTTCGGATCCAGCAGAAAAAACATAATACGACAATAACATACGTTTATAACATTAGAACCGTGCTAATACTATAATGACAAAGAGATATGACAACGGACTAATTGCATAACACCCTCTCCTCCCGGAGCGTTTGGGGGGGGGGAAATCCTTCTGCAATCCAGAGGGGAGGGACCACTAGCAAGCCGTACGCCCTGGAACCTAGACGTGAACCCTAGGCCAATATAAGGTTGCGAGTTTAGGGTGGCTCCTACAAGGAGCCCGGAGCTTGAAGCCCTGAGCAAAGACAATGCCTGATGCCTTGCCAAGGAATTCAGACCAGTTGCTTTCGATCGTTCAGAAAGTATGTGGGATCTCAAGCCCGCTGCCTAGGTCCCTGAAGAATCCAGCCCAACGAACGTCCTGAGCCTGCAGGAGAACGCGGAAGCTGCACCAGCAGAAAGCCACACGGGCTACGTCCTGCCGGAGCAGCCGAAGGATTGGAGTGAATGTGGCTCTTAGGGGCTTGAAATGGATGGTTTCGGGTTTACCGTTTAGGTGCAGGGTTTGAGGGCAAGTTCGCAGTGAAGGGTTTAAGTTCAGGGTTTGGGGTCTAGGTTTGTGGTTTAGGTCGAGGGTTTAGGTGCCGGGAGGCGTGCCATCATGGTTTAGGGTTTAGGGTTTAGGGTTTAGGGTTTAGGGTTTAGGGCAACCCGATAATGCTGCACAGAGTTTTGCCAGCAGATTCGTAGATGTCTTGTGCGGTCCGACGTCCTGCGCCGTTTCGATCTTCCTGGCAGATTTTTGCAAGTGCCTACAGAGTGGAGCGGGTCCATTTGTGACTGTGACTCAACGTCTAGCCCTGCATGCTAACCATCTTAGAGAGATCTGGGAGGCATGTGGGTACGAGTCCCAGCTCAAACAGTCGGTGGCCCAGTGTTTATCGGAAGAATTGCACCCACCGCCATGTTACATGATCCGTGTAGTTTTGGCTTGAGGATGAAGATTGTGTTCCGGATCAGTGTGGTTTTCAGGGTTAATGGTTTTGTCCAGACCTTCGCTGCCGGATTGAGTCTGCCTTTCGGACTCGCGTACGGAATTGTGATGCGCATGCCGCCCTCCTTGGCCCTTGGTCGTTGGTATGTGAAGCTGTCATCGTTTTTTGTTTTCTGTGTTCATCCGAATGCCAGACTCGTCGCAGTCGTGCGTTTGGGTTCGCCAAAATGTGAGACAGTCAGTCACCACATTTGGGCGTCTGTGTTCGCCCGAATACGAATGTCGTTTTCGCTCCTGTTGTCTTTTTTGCATGTGCTCTTGCACCATTGGCATGCTCTTTCCTGTTCTCATGGTCTCTCGCTGTTTGGGTCTGCGCTGGCATCATTGTTCCCCAAAAAAAAACCTTGCCTGATCAGCTTCTCTGATGGGTAAATTGTCGAGAAGAACAGCGTCCAATAGCGAGCGACAACAGTTGCGCAATTCACGCAGGCAGAAGCCAAACAAAAGAAAGTGATGATTTTCTCCCAAATGCGAGTGGGTCTCGAGAAAAACCCATGGTCCGCAGCGGGCGACCGCGCTGCCCGATGCACCTGCCCCCTCTTACTTGACACTCCTTAGCATTCACACACTGTTTTTGGGGAACTACACCTGATTGTGTGTTGGTACCCATGCCTCAAAACATGTGAGGTTCGGCAAGCCATAGTATGGGTAGTCCCGCTTAAAACCCTGGTTGGAATGTGACCACGGCAAAACAACGTCTTTTCGACGCCAAGAGTCCGCTGAACCCTGAACCTAACGGGGCCCTGCAATTGTGTCGCCGTTGAAAGCCTCAATCCCCCAAACGCCGCCGAATAAACCCCCCCTTCGCCCTGCAAACCCTGGGGGCCTTAAACCCTAAACCCCAAACCCCAAACCCCAAACCCTGAACCCTAAACCCTAAACCCTAAACCCTAAACCCTAAACCCTAAACCCTAAACCCTAAACCCTAAACCGGGGGGAGCTTCAGGCCCGGAATGCCTCCGACCTGGGAGGAGCTGTTTCGCAGCCGCCGGTAGCTCTGCAGATTTTAGGGCGGGCTGGCCCAAGGCATGCAGCACCTGAAGATCCAACATCCCTTAGCTTAAACCTCAGCCTCTTGCAGACGTAGCTTTAATTCCTGCACCTTGGAAAAGAAAGACGTCCAGCTTGACACGACATTCCGAGAAGCTCAAGTCTTCGAGCCCAGGGTCTAGGGTTTCATTTACAAAAAGGGTTTAGGTTTAATTTACAAAAAGGGTTTAGGTTTAATTTACCAAAAGGGGTTAGGTTTAGGACTTAGGGGTGAACCGAGGCCTGCTGTAAAAAAGAGGCCTCACTCACCAGACCAGAGTCGGCGGGTGGTTCAAAGGCAGGAGAAAGCAGACGCCCGCCTTGCATGCCTGGCTGCAGGAAATCCCCCTTTACAGCAACCTTGGGGGTTGAAATGAACCCTAAAGTTGGGGTCATAACTACGATAATTCCTATTCAGGTATGTGAACCATAAACCCTTTTAGGGTTCATTTCGTCCCCAAGGAACCCGTACATAGGCCCCGCTTCTGGTGGAGCCCTGCGATGGAGCAGTGACTTGGCGTTTTGGAGACCTGCGGCGGAGCGCGAGCGCGCACACAAGTCAGAGGTTAGAGGGTCTAGGAGTCTCGGCACTGAAAGGCCTGGGACGGGAAGAGGGTTTCAAGGCGCGAGGTTGCGAGCATAAGGAAGCGCGGCCACCTGTCGCGGTGCTCTACTCCTTTGTGGTACTTTACTGTAACTTTAGATCCTTACATTTTTTGGGCTTATTGGGTTTAAAATTAAGGCAGCTAAAAGTTTAATTCATAGCTACCCTCCTGAGTGCAGCCAAGTACTCAAGCCGGCAATTTGGTTCAAGAGCCCACGTTGAGAGGGTTTTGGCCTGTGACCTCGTGGCCATGGGAAACCACTTTGCCGCTCGCTCGGCAAAGTGCTTGGAGGTTCATGGTGCTTATTAAAAAAATGATAACTGTACTAATAACTGTACGTATAACTGTACTTATAACCTCATTAGGGCACTTAAGGGGCTCATAAGTGGGTGATAAGTACTAAGTTATAGCTGGTTAATGAGTACCGTGAACCTCCAAGTAGACTCTTTCCTTGTTTTGTCATGCCACCGCCTTTTCTTTGTCGGGAGCCGCCTCGTTTTCTTGGGGGTTTGTCTGTGTAGCCTCAAGTGTCAATGTGCATGCGGGCTTTGGTTTATCAAGGAAGGACGTACGCCCGAGGATGTTGAGCATGACCGGTTGTGTGGAGTTGTCGAGCAGGTTTGGGGGTTTGGGGGGGGGAGCTCCACAGGGCCCGCAACTTCCTGCCAAGAGCAACCCAACCTCAGAGCCCGAGAATTCAGCAGACTGCGAAGAAGAGGCTCAGGGTTCAGGGTTTTCAAGTTCAAGCATTTTGATTCCCGCATGACATTGTTGTTTGCTGGCAGTTTGGCCCCGCCCCCTGGAGTTGGAGGGGCTCCTCACAACTTGCTAACTTTGAGCCGAAATCCCCTGACATGTAGCCGGAACCCTTGAGCTGAAACACTCTCCAAACCTTCTCCGCACTTGCCTACCGAGGCTTGTTGTGGCAATGCCCACAACGCCGAAGAGCCCACGGACATGGCACGGCCCTCAGGGAGGGAGTGTTTGTGGATAATTTGGAATATGGGGGTATAAGGCCCCTTGTATAGACACCCAAATCATAGGATCCCCATATAACAAGGACCCGAATAAGGTACTCCTAGTATAATATCGTAAACCCCCACATTGGGGGGGGGGGGGGGATTGAGCAAGGGGCTGAGCTTAATTTCACAGCCCGGGCTCAGATGCGTGAGGCAGGCACAAGTTCTTATTGCGGAAGCCGGATGCACCGGATCCGACTATGTAGGGGTGTTGCGGTTGAATGTTCGAGGCTTTGCGTCTCGTACGTCCTTTAGCGGATCCTGGCCTCAAGTTGAGGAGGGCTGACAGAGCTTCACAGGCGTGTATGAGCGCGTGCTTCGCGCGCCCATGTGCCGTGAAGGTTGGAAGCACTAAACCCTCAGACCTAAATCTTCGAAGCAGAAGCAGAAAGAAGAACTGCATTCATGTTCGGAGCTTCCTCTTCCTTTGGCAATTCGTTTGTGTGCCGAGACACGAGCTCCGGTACAAGAACATGGCCATGAGGACGCCTTGCGGGCCTTTGCGGGAAGGGTTGGGGGGCCTTGCAGCTCGGGGCCCCCCGAAGTCTCAGACGTAAGTACCTGTGAGCTAAGCCAGCTAAGCCTCTTCAATCAGGATTTGGGGACTGGGGATTGAGGGATGGGAGCCCTCTGAGGCTCTTAAGCTTTAAACTTCCCTCGATGTCTGAAGAGCAAAGAATGGTTCTACGGCGTGGGAGCCCTGCCCACAGATAATCGGACCCGACCCAGCAATCCCAAACCCTAGCTGCTAGCCGTCGCAGCTTCCCGAAGCTCCAGCCCTCTGACTTTATCCCACTTGGGAATTGTTTGTTTATTTTTGGTTATATCAAACCCAAGAGAATATTAACATATTGTTTTTATTAAGGTTCTAAGGGGAGTATAGCTGAGATCTCGGGGATCTCAGGAAGCTCGGTTTTCGCTTGAACACATCTTAGCCCGCAACTGCGACGCATAGTTCTCAACTTGAAAATTCAAGATGGATTGCTCGATTGCCCCCAGGAAGAGGCCATAGACTTCAAATCCTCGCAGCCGTCAGGCCGGGTTATGCTCAGAGAGCCAGAGATCATGATGACCATATGTATACATACATATGTATGCCGTAAACTCCTTGAACCCAAGCTCTAAGTCGGCCAACGCTTGAGAAACATCAACACCCGAAACCCCGCCTGTTCACGCGCCAAGGGTTTGGTGCTTCCAGTGTGCTTCCCTTCCGACCCTTTCTTCTGCTTCAGGGGGCTTTTGTGGGGTTCAGTCGCTTGTGTCCCTAACCTGGTGGAGGCCCTGCCCTCAAGCCCACCAGCCTCGAAACCATTTCCATGCTGCGCAGCCCGTAATGACCTTGAGCCTTGGAGTGGCGTAAGAGCTGGGCCCCACTTGTTGCGGCACACATGGCCGCGATGCGGCGCAGCAGCCCAGGATCCGCCGAAGGCTGCGTGAGGAAGCAAGCGGGGGCCTTGAGGCTTCCTTGAGCAGAGCCGGAAGCCCAGGGCGAGAACATTCGGCCAGGAGGACCAAGGCGCTAACCAAAGCAGGCGCAGACCAATGACCAAACGGCAGAACTAAAGCCAAATCCAGGCACAGACCTAGGCATGAATGGCTTGAGGTGCGTCAGGACCTTGGTCAGGCTTCTCAAAACTACGGCACGGGCGAGTGGCACCGGAGCATCCGAAGGTCCAGATGTCCGGAAGTCGTAAGGCCGCAGCTCCCCAACAGGACGCTGGAGCCTTCCTGATGACTAGACTCTGCCAAAATCCGAACGCCATCACGCAAGCCCCTGATGGTTTGGCCTCCGAGCGGTTGGAGGCGAGGTCACCGGGAGACCTGCTGCCGGCAGACGAAGCATGCCTCTGTGAGCAAGGAACAACAAAGGCAATCATCCAACTACCGGGAATGTGTGCATTTGACCCTAGACCTAAACCCTAAACCCTAAACCCTAAACCCTAAACCCTAAACCCTAAACCCTAAACCTGTAGATGGGCAAACCACCCCGCCCCTGTGAGGTGCCAAGGGAGTGACCGAGGACGGGGTGTGCCTGGTCGACGGTTTGGCTCTGGGGTCTGGTATTACATGTTGAACTGAGCAGGAGTAATTGGAAACCCTGAGCCATAAACCAAAAACCCCTGACTAAACCCCCTAAACCCCCGAAACCCCCCTAAACCCCCCTGATGAAGATGTTGCTCGTGTTGGCTTGGTGGTCTTATCAAGCATCTATGGCATGCGCTCGCACGATGTGTGACCTTTGCAGTTTCATTCTAAAGCCTGCCGCAACCTGCCGCTTGCTGAACCTGCACGGGGTTTGCGGCACCCTTAACTTCTTCTTTAATATTTGTTCTAATATAACCCAAGTGGATATCAAACATTTTATTTTGATGAAGGTTCTCAGGGGAGTATAGAATTAACAGGGTCAAGGTGTAGCATTGGTCAGTTGGTCGAGCTGGGGTTGACAAGGTTTATGGTCAGGGTTTAGGGTGAAAAGGTAGTCTTGTATAACATAGTCTCAGATGCCGTCGATCGGCGAATGCGTGCTCTTGGATAGCAGTGAAGCTGCTTTACTCGAGTGGCACTTACTCCGGGCGAGGTGGCAAGCCTGTTGCAAAAGGGTTTAGGGTGTAGGGTTTAGGGTTTAGGGTTTAGGGTTTAGGGTTAGGCGACTGGAGCGGGTGGGAGGAAGTACCCACACCAAACAAGCAACCATCTATGCCATTGCAAATCCGACTCCTTGTTGCCTCGCAAATGTCACCCACGAGGGCAGCAGACTACATCAACACCATTCACCACCACTCGAATGACCATCAATATCATATCACCACCCTAAACCCTAAACCCGAAACCATAAACCCTAAACCCCCAAAACCCCCTTCGATATGCCGGGAGGATGTCCGTGTCGCCTCACCCGCGCAGGGCTACGCCTCCCCGAAGGCGTCGCGAACGGGGCTTTTAAGATCGTTGGGACACGGGCCTCCTTGCAGCATTGCAGTGTCCTTTGCCCAAGCTGCTTATCACAGAACCCCTGGTCCTGCAAACCAAAACCGCAAGATGTAGCCAGACACCAACATGCGAGGGTCCAAGCCACTCTGAACCTTACATTCCCACAGAGCGGGTGCCCGTAGTTTTCTTTTCCCTTCTTTCCCTACTGCATGTGCTTAAAACCTGCCGGAAGCACTTCAGGAAACGCTAAGCTGGCATTCTTTCAAGACGTTCCACTCCACTCCAAGAGCTCGATTCTTAAACCCTAAGCCCTAAACCCTAAACCCTAAACCCTAAACTCGAATCCTAAGCCCTAAACCCTAAACCCTAAACCCTAAACCCTAAACCCTAAACCCTAAACCCTAAACCCTAAACCCTAAACCCTAAACCAATGAGTTAACCCAAGCTCTTGATCTGCCCCATTGCCAGCATGTGGAAGAAGACAGTGCCGGGACCCTACGTCTGTTGGTCTGCCCTGAAGGTGAATTGTGAATTGTGAATGTGAATTAAAGTCTATATATATATGAGTATATATGTATGTGTATATATATATATATGTATATACATGTATATCTCTGTGTGTGTGTGTGTGTGTGTGTGTGTGTGTGTTTGTGGGTTGTGGCCTTTGATGACTTTATGATAGTCTTTGTGGGTCCGGCATTTGTGTCATCACTTGCTTGTGTCGAGCAGTTGCGGGTCAAGCTCTGGCGGCTTTCTTTCCCAACACCGGCGGGCTTTTTGGGGTGGTGGCTTAGGTTGAGGCTTGCTTGATTTCAGCTAAGCCTGGTAGTTGTCAAGCACACGTTTAGCTTAGGATATAAGGCTGTAGTAGGGTGCTGTAAGCTCAGGCATGCAGACCATGAGTTCCCAGTGAATTCCAGAGTCCGGGTTGTAGCCCGCCGCCGTTGCTTCCATGCCGTTGATGAAGTCCTTGTTCACGTTGCTGCCGCATGCCCTTGAAGAGGTCCATACTCAAAGCGTTTTGGGGCCCGCCGGTGATGAGCTCGTTGTAGCTGTCCTGCAGGGACGAGGTTTCCACGGAGTGCCCCTTTGATTCTATCATTCCAGGCCCTGTCCACAGCCTGGGTAAGCCATCCCAAGCCCGTGCATCCAAACCTGGCCCCCCCCCCCCCCCCCCCGCAAACCAAAGAGCACCTTGAACGCTTATCCTAAAGCTGGTTTAGGGTTTAGGGTTTAGGGTTTAGGGTTAGGGTTTAGGGTTTAGGGTTTAGGGTTTTAGGGCTTAAGGTGAATGCCCATGTCACCCCACTCCTCGGAGCCCCGAAGCCCGAGCCGAAAACCTGAAGGCCCCCAAAACAAAGGCATCCCCTGTGGTCCGCGCGATCTCCTCCTGCAGCCTGAACGGGGTCGGGAACTCGATGCATCGGGGGTTGGAGAGCCTAAGGGATCAGAAGGGTCCAATCTGGGTTCGGCCTTGAGAAATCCCAGTTTTTGCAGGAAAAACCCCACCCCACTCCTACCCAGCCCGACATCCTGCCTGCCATCTTCTTCAACCCTTTTGGTTTCGGGCTTAGGGTTGAGGGTTTAGTGTGGCCACGCCCTCAGTCCGGCTGCAAAAAAGGGTTGAGGGTTGAGGGTTTAGGGTTTAGGGTTTAGGGTTTAGGGTTAGGGTTTAGGGTTTAGGGTTTAGGGTGCATGAGTGCCTTGATGGCGGCCTTCTCCCCTCGCCCGACGTGCCGACCGAACCAGCTCTTCAGCTCTGGCTTCCCCCCTTCCCCTTCCCCCGTTAGGGTTTAGGGTTAGGGTTTAGGGTTTAGGGTTTAGGGTTTAGGGTTTAGGGTTTAGGGTTTAGGGTTTAGGGTTTAGGGTTTAGGGTTTAGGGTTTAGGGTTTAGGGTTCCCCCATCACGCAACAAGCGCTTGGCGCCCAGATTTCGGTGGAGGAAGACGTGATGCAGGAGAGGGGCTCGGTTCGGGTCCGGTCGGTCAGTAGCTTTCAGGCAAGGCAGGTTTAGGGTTTAGGGCTGAGGGCTTAGGGTTTAGGGTTTAGGGTTTAGGGTTTAGGGTGCAGGGCTTAGGATGAGGAATCGACCTTTTAGCGGAAGCCGGCCTTCTAAACCCAAAACCATACACCCTAAACCCTAAACACAAGTCACTAATGGAGTTCTTAAGTCCTGGCGGCGCACATCGTGAACCCTCAATGACTCAACGATGTGGCCAAGAATTTCGGCATCATTGGTCCTGCGCTATATCTGCTAAACAAGTCCAGAGTTGAAGTCTTCAAGATTGCTGGGCTTCTTTTGGGTTTAGGGTTTAGGGCTTAGGGTCCAGGGTTTGGGGTTAGGGTTTAGGGTTTAGGGTTTAGGGTTTAGGGTTTAGGGTTTAGGATTTCAGGGTAGGGATTGCAGCCTGCGAACCTTCCTGACAGGAGAGGCGCAGCATGACCATGCAACAGATGCGGTCCAGGTGGGAGCCTCGCCCTTTTCTCCCCCTGTTTGAGCGGGCTGCTTTGGGCTAAACCCTGAACCCTAAACCCTAAACCCCAAACCCTAAACCCTAAACCCTAAGCCCTAAACCCTAAACCCTAGCACCTGGCGCTTGAAAGCTGTGCCTTGCAGGGCTGCGAATCGCAAGTTCTGGGGCTGCAACACACCTTCGGGATCATTGAGGATGCTCCAGTCGCCATTCCCGTGAGCAGAGACTTAGGGTTTAGGGTTTAGGGTTTAGGGTTTAGGGTGACTTCCGATAACACACCGGCCACATAGGAGGGCTTAGACACCTTGCTTGCGACTGGGACTTCTTAAGAGGCTTGGCCCGAAACCGCCATCTTTCAGATGTCGCTACAAGGGCGAAGGCGCAGGATCTCAGTGCACGCTTAGGGAGTCATAACCCGGTGTAGATGTCGGAAGAATGGCCCCAATTGCAAACGTGACAGTACAGCATGCGTCGCAAAAAGAAGAACCCACCCACTGAACTACGCAATGTCCTATGTCTCCTGGTTGTCGGGTTGATCCCAAGTTTCACAGTAGCCAAACTTCTTCAAGCTCTACGCACGCCCGTGCCGGTCCCATTCCCCGTCCCCAAAGCACGAACTGCACACCGCCAACATAGAAGTGAATGGCAGGTCGCACACGGCTCAGTCCATGGTCAGCACGAAGTCCTTTGCCGAAGCCCTGGCACAACTTTAGGGGGGTTTAGGCGGTTTAGGGTTTAGGGTCGGGTTGTGGTACTGTTGTTCCTCACTGTCTGGTGATGTTAGGAGGCCCACCGGACATTCCACAGCGCCGAAGTGACCTTTTCAGGGTGTTGAGGCTGCGCCAAAATCCTGTGGCCGAGGTGGGGCTTTACGATACTGGGGGTGCACTATCTTGGGTCCTTATTGCAAGGGGATCCTAAACCCTAAACCCTAAACCCTAAACCCTAAACCCTAAACCCTAAACCCTAAACCCTAAACCCTAAACCCTAAACCCTAAACCCTAAACCCTAAACCCTAAACCCTAAACCCTAAACCCTAAACCCTAAACCTACTATCTGGGGGTCTATATATTAGGGGCCCCTTCTTTATCGTAAAGCACAAGGTGGAGACCATTGCGGACTTCTTCCGGGGCCGGCCGGACTTCAATGGCGAATGGGCCTGGTCCTGACTGACACAGCTGGTAGCCTGTTTTCGCAGTTCAGAACACCAGAAAACCTTTGGGTTTAGGGTCTAGGGTCCAGAAAATGTGCATTTGGTCGCCATTTATTTCTGCTGCGGGTGCCGCTGTTGCGATTCAGGCTTTTTTAGAGTTCCTGGAGCAACCCGAGCACCCGCACTCCTCGAATTCTTACGTGAAGCCGCCCTTCTCAGCTCCAAACCAGTGTGGGGTGCTCGGTTCAGTGGCGTCAATTCCTAGACCCCATCTTCGCTGCAGGTCTGCATCGAGACGTTTGGATTGGATGACTTCCTGAAGGCCTGCGACCGACTCCATCGCTTGGATGCCGCTCTAGCCAGTTCAAGTCACTTCCCTTGAGAGCCAAGTTGGCTAGATTAAGAGCTGAAGAAGCAGATTGGGTTGGCGAGCTCTTCACAGCAAGTGGTTTAGGTCGTGTATTCAATAGACATTTCGTAGTTCCCGGAATGTCCTTTCAATGTGAACGATTCAAATAAATGACTCGCCTGGAAATGGAAAGGCCGAAAATTAATTCTTCATTTGTGATTAAGCTACCTTAGAATCACTTTGGCACAAGAGACCATTCAAGTCAGTTGTTCTAAGGGTTTAAACGGACAGATTCTGCCTTTTGCCGGATATCCCTTCCGAGAAGGAGGAGGAGATTCCTCCTCCCTCGTTCTATTCTTTCTGTTTTTCTCTGGCAAGAGAAATCCCTCCTGCAGCTTTTTCCCTTCTCCCCGAAGAAATTAAAAAGATTTGAGAAATAGGTTGGAAAAGCAGGAAAGAGGGCAAGAGGTCCCCAGTTTCCCTCCCAGTCTTCTCGCAGCACTTCGGCCCTCCGGCCTCCTTAGAACCCCCGGATACTTGTAAGCCCTTGACCCTGAACCCTGAACCCTGAACCCTGAACCCTGAACCCTAAACCCTAAACCCTAAACCTTAAACCCTAAACCCTAAACCCTAAACCCTAAACCCTAAACCCTAAACCCACCCAGGAGCTGGGCGTCTCCACCTTCAAGCGCCTGTGTCCTACAAGGGCACTGATGGGCTGTGGTATTTGGGATCTACATACCACGTGAATGTGGGGGGCCAGTAGTTCTGTATCGTGGGAGCTAGTCGAGAGGGCATGTCTACTTTCGACGCCAGATTGCCTTTCAACCTCCACTGAATTGACTAAAGCACTGCAAACCCCACTAGCCCACGCACGCCCACGCACGCACACGCACTCAGACGCACGCACACAAACAAACGGAGACATACAGAAACAGACAGACACAAACAAACAAACACAACGCAGCCACGCGCGTGCACACACACACACAAAAGTCCTCAACCCCCAAGCCCACCCGATATCCTTTGAAGCCAACGCATGAAGCGCTGCGAAGACGAGACAAGGCCTCGCTGCCTCGAAAGCTCCGTGGCCCTCGTGGCATTTCCAGCAGGAGAGACCTCAACCAGCTGATTAGCGGTTTAGGACCAGAGCAGGTCAGGACGGTCAGGCACCAGGTTTAGGGTTTAGGGCCGTTTAGGGTTTAGGCCGGTTTAGGGTTTAGGGTTTAGGGTTTAGGGTTTAGAGTTGTTGGGGATGGGCAATGTTGTTCGTTCGAGCTGGTTGAATGCCGCTCTCCCAGGGTTGTGCAGTTCGGGGACCAGCAGCAAGAACCGACAGCTCTTGATTTGGTGGTCCTTACGTTTTTTTTGTTAGGGTTTAGGGTATAGGGTTTAGGGTGGCTCCCGGAACCTTTTGCAGTGGTGCAGGCCACGTAAGGGCCGAAAGTTTCACGCAGTGAGCGTGGAAGATGAGACACACAGTTAGGGTTTAGGGTTTAGGGTAGTTTAGGGTTTAGGGTTCCATCTGGCATATTCGTCTAGGCTTTGCAATTGATACGATTGCTTTTCAACTAGTGTCAGTATATATATTTTTTTATCCTGAAAAGATGTTTTAAATAAGTAAAAAACAAATAAATAAATATAGATATAGATATAGATATAAAATATAGATGTAAAATATGTATATATATATATATATATATTCATATAATATGAATATAGATATAAATATACGTATAAGTATAAATATAAATATAAATATCAATATCATAAATATACATATACATATAAACATAAATACAAATATAAATATAAATATAAATATAACATTAATATAAATCGAAATAAAAATCTAAATATAAATAAATACATACACACATATATCTATAGATATATATACATATATATGTATATGTTTAGGCAGCAGTCCTGTCACGATTTCTTAACCCCCTTCCGGCTTTCCTCTAGTATACCAAAGATGTTGGGTGGATATCGGACCCCAAACAAGTTAGATCACTTGGACTCTGCCCTCCTATTCAGAAGCGATCTCATAACAACCATGTAGGGCACTCCGGCACTTTCGACCAGGATGGCGACCGGATCAAGTTCAGCAGCTTGGACCGGATGTTGGGTGGTATGACAGATAGGGTTTGCATCTTCAGTGTCCCGTCGCAGCAGGAACACACTCACCCTGGGGAAGAACTAAGGGCTTTTTTGGGGTTCTTGGCGGTCTTCGAAAGTCCTGGCGCGTAGTCACGAAGTCGGGCCAGGAACTCTTTAACCCCGACCCTGGACTCAGCTGTCCAAGCCATGGTCCTTTTTTTCGATGCCCCAAGCACGGGAAGCCTTATCAAGGTTCCAACCTTGCCGGGCTAGAGACGGCTGAGTTTGCTTCTGTGTCTTTGCTCATACCTCCGACAAGTGTTGCTAGGATGGAAGTTTGCAACACGCACATCACATCCAGACATTGTGTTTTTGTTTTGTGTGTGTGTGTGTGACAAGCTCTCCCCAGAAGGCTTATGCACGGAAAGCATGTGGAGGGTCAGTTGTCTTGTGCCCTCAGCAAGTCGTCCTACGGTACTAAGCCTTAGCTGGACATTGCATGCACGCGACATATCTACGATTTTTCCACACCATGTCGATGACTTATGGAACGTCTGAGATGATGCGGGGTTTTGGCTAAATGGTTCGGTGACGGTTGCTTTTCATGTTGCAGTACCGGTCCAAATCAAGTGATCCAGCACTGCAGGCAATCACACGATGATGGGGGTCCTTGCTGAGGAGCATCCGGCCCAGTATAGTACATGCTTTTGACAGCAAGGGAGCATGGCATTCGTACGGGGCGTTTAAACTAATACTTCCGACGCAGCACAACTTCCCCCCCTTGTCACGAACCCGAGCCCGTGCCTAGTGGTGATAAACGTCTTGCTGGTCGAGCTGCATGCCAGCCTGCAGGCAAAACATGCACCTTGAATGTAGAGGTTTGTGCCTGAAGGCTCGGCCCAGGTTGAGAGGCTTAAGTTAAGGCTGAATACCCCGCCACCCCCTGACCCCCATCCCCCCCCCTTCCACCCCCACCCCATCGCCTCCCCGGCCCCGCCCCGCACCTTAGTTCGGAACTGCTCCTCCTGCTCAAACTCGAAATCGAACCATTCCAAAAACGCAAACTCAAGCCCCAGCGAACTCCTCCCGCATGCGGTTCGGAACTAGCTGCGCGGCCGCGCAGACGTGCAGCCGTAGTTTAAGACCCAACTGGGGCTCCTGGCAGCTCCTCTCGCGGACTGTCGTACCCCTCGATTGCGTTCAACCCCCAAAACCCAGACCCTTCCGAGGTTCGTAGCAGATGGCTCGACTTATGAGACAGTCGATGGCCACAAGCAGACGCTTACCTGCTTCGCCCTTTGGGAGGTGCGAGAGAATTGGGCAGTTGAGCTGGCACACCCCCTCACGATGCCACTATATCCCCCGTGGGAACTATTTTTTTATTTTCGTTTATCTAAAACCCAAGAGATATTAAATGTAGTATTTTTGTTAAGGTTCTAAGGGGAGTATAGGCCACAAGCTTCAAGTCTCAAAGGAAGCTCCCTATGGGCGGCCTCTCCGAAACCCTTAGTGCCATCCTTGCAGGGTGACATCTTAGTCATCGAGCGATCCGGGCCACAGGGCCACTTTCGTGAGGACAGCAGTGGAGGGTTAGGGTTTAGGGCTTAGGGCTTAGGGCTTAGGGTTTAGGGTTTAGGGTTTAGGGTTTAGGGTTTAGGGTTTAGGGTTTAGGGTTTAGGGTTGGGGGGGCTTAAGGCTTAAAGGTTCGACTCTGGACTTCCCGATTGCTTGGGTTGCTTGGACCTGGGCGTGCGGCAATGGGTCAAGTACCAGATGAAAGGACCAGGAGGAGGGAAAATGCCAGTGCTGCCTCATCGGCGAAGAATTGCTTGCAAGTCGTGGCCTCGATTCTGCGTTCTTACTGGCAGTTCTGTGAAGGTAGAAGCAAATCGGAACGCCCAACAACTCGAAACAAGGAGTCGTTTTGTTTCTGCATACTCTTCCTGTGGTACTAGTAGCCAGAAACTTGAGAGCACGAGCAGTCGCGCACGGGAGAGGAACTGGAAGGGATCTACCCTAAACCTTACACCCTAAACCCAAACCCTCAACCCTGAACCCTGAACCCTGAACCCTGAACCCTGAACCCTGAACCCTGAACCCTGAACCCTGAACCCTGAACCCTAAACCCTAAACCCTAAACCCTAAGCCCTAAGCCCTAAACCCTAAACCCTAAGCCCTAACTATCCCCTGAACTTGCCCCGCCCCTTCGCAGCCTTATGGCCTTCCGCGGGGCAGGAGCGGCGCATTGACGAAAACGGCTTCCTCAACTTCACACTCCGGGCCCCCCCCGGGTTAGGGGGAGGGTTTAGGGTTTAGGGTTTAGGGTTTAGGGTTTAGGGTTTAGGGTTTAGGGTTTAGGGTTTAGGGTTTAGGGTTGAGGGTTGAGGGTTGAGGGTTTAGGGTTTAGGGCTTTCCGAACTTAGGGGCACTCTTTCTTGAGGGGGGTTCCTAGAATAAGGATTTTATAGCATTCTGGGGTTTATTAGGACCCTAAACCCCAAACCCTAAACCCGAAAGCCTTTGTTGAGAAATGCCCCCAGAAACCTGTCCCAGAGTCACTTCTCGGACCCGTGGGGCGATTTTCTAGGTCCGAAGCTTCCCTTGCAAAAGGGCACTGTTAGGGTTTAGGGTTTAGGGTTTAGGGTTTAGCCTGTAGGGTTTAGGTTCATCACCTGAACAACCTCGGTCGCAGGCAAGCTGCCACAGAAGCCCTGAAGCAAAAAAGGTTCATAAGTTCCTTGGCTCATCAGCGTGCTCAAGCTCCCAGCTACTGGTCGCACCCTGGAGCTCACAATGAAACCTTAGACTTAGAGTTTGAGGTTTAGGGTTTAGGGTTCAGGGTTTAGGGTTTAGGGGCCGACTGCCCAAGCCCGGATGCAAAAAAGGGTTCAGGGTTTAGGGTTTAGGGTTTAGGGTTTAGGTTTTAGCTCAAACTCCCCCCAGAGTCCCTATCGTCGAGCAGGGCATGGAGCAGGGCAGCAAGGTGGTCTGGGGCGCGGGCACCTGGAGGGTTTAGGGTTTAGGGTTTAGGGTTGGGTGCCTCTTTCAAGGGAGGTGAGGTTTGAGGGTTCAGCGCGGACACTTTGCCTTGTCTAGGAAGAAACCTTGAGCGAACTCTGGGGGAGTCTCAGGGGCTTTTCAGGATCTGGCACCCTTGCTGAAGTTCAGGGTTGACAGGGTGTGGGTCCAGGGGCAATTTTGTTTCTGAGCCTGCGGAAGGGTGTCGATATCGCAACCGTCGTACAAATGCGCAAGAACCCTGATCCACGAGGCCGCAAGTTCAAGCGAAAGGCGTGAGCGTGTGCTCGGTGAGTACTTCCGACATGGTTTCATGTATCCAGGATTAGGGCTTAGACGCGGTGTTGAACTGGGGGCTCAGCGTGATATGAGAGGGATGGAGAAGCTAAGCTCGAGAGCCGAGCTTCAATGCTATTCATACAGATGATCTAATCTCGAAGTTTCAGGGTCTAGAGTATGTACATAAGAGTTTCACTCGCCTGTGCGGTGCATTTGCGTACCATGTCTCAAAGGGCGAGCCGCAGGATGGGCTTTTCGGCAGGGAAGTGGCACCAGGGTTTTGCAAGTAACCCTAAACCCTAAACCCTAAACCCTAAACCCTAAACCCTCAACCCTAAACCCTAAAGCCCCCTTTGAGCATCGCTTTTGCAAAGCAGCGCCAAGGTGCGCTGCTTAGCGATCCGTAGAGTCCCGGCAGTCTAAGCCTGCAAGCCTGCCGCTCTTCACGCAGCTCTCTGAGAATGAGCAGGGTTTAGGGTTTAGGGTTTAGGGTTTAGGGATGCTGCACGCAGGTTTGCTGGCCAATAAACCGCAAGTTCACGTTCCCCGCACCATCCTGCGCCCAAGCTTAACAAAGCCTCAGTGGCAGGTGGCAGAACCCTAAACCCTAAACCCTAAACCCTAAACCCCAAACCCCAAACCCCAAACCCCAAACCCTAAACCCTAAACCCTAAACCCTAAACCCTAAACCCTAACCCTAAATCCTGCTACTTCAGTGGCAGGTATCAGAACAGCCTCCCCGACTTATCCTGACATATCGCGTCGTCGGACAGGGATGGTGCAGCAGTTGCAAAGAGAGCAACCGCCCTCAAGGCCTGGACATGCTGGAAAAAGTGTTGAAGGAGAGGGTTTAGGGTTTAGGGTTTAGGGTTTAGGGTTTAGGGTTTTTGAACTGTGCGCCTGACGTTCATGCAGAGTCCTGGGTCATCGATGCTTAGTCTCCCGAGATAGAGAGCGTATCCCAACAAGCGCTCGAGATGTTTCAGTATCTTCCCCTATGCAGTGAAATCAGTGGTAAATGGGTTCAGAAACTGGAGGGCTTGGAACCTCCTGCTGCGTGAAAACCGCATGGCCTGAACATGTCCTGGCCCTGCGAAGCCTGCTGCAAAAAGGGTTTGAGGGCTTTTAGGGTTTTAGGGTGTTTAGGGTTTTAGGTCTTAGGACAGTGTTGCTCGCGCGGTGGAGTTTGAAAAGTAGCGGGCCTAGATTCCGGGAAGGGTTTGGAAAGCAGAGGTCGGTCCAACATCAGGAGCCCCTCATTGGACCCGTGCGCATGGCGTTGGCAACCTCAAGCAACCTCACGACCATGACTCGTGGGCACCTTTCAGCCACCATGTGCAGTTCCATCATTGCAGCGCGCTTCCCTGGCTTGAGTGTGCGGATGAAGCAGGCAGCAGTTCACATCACTCATAGTCGACTCAGAGCTCTGCAAACTCAGCTTTCCATTGATGTGCATAGCCTCTTGCCCCAACCCCAAAGTGTCTAAAAGCCCAAACTCAAGCAGCCAAGCCGGGTTTCGGTGGGCTTCAGTTCCCAGCCTTACTAGCCTTCTGGTGTCAGCAGGCACCATGTTGAATTCGCTCCCGCATGTCTGCGGCAGCCATGCCAGACACAGGCGGGCAAGTGCTCGCTATGAATGAATATAATCCCAGCCGGGCAGCTCAATCCAGACGTTCTCTTATGTCGCACCTTTGCACCCAAATTGGAGGGGCTTTCGCTCAAGAGCTATGTCCGTATGTCTGTATGCAGGTCACAGGATACAAGCTTGCGGTGCAGATCCCCAGATGCAAGCCTCACCCGATTTGCCCTACTCCAAGGTCCAGTTGCGACTTTCAACAACTAGACCACTGGGCCAGGGCTTATGATATGGATGATAGGGAGGGGTCAGGATCCGTCCGAATCAGGGAATCCCCAATGGATAAGCCGCTAATGAAACAGGTTGGGGGGTGGGGCTACTGGGATGCGAGCGCGCGATGAGGAGTGCGCCCCTAAATCTTAAAACATGGCGCTCTCCCCACGCTCGTACACTGACATGACACACAACCTAAACTGACCTAAACCCTAAACAAGTAGCCCCAACTCAACCCCACTGACCTGTATCTTGCAATTTCAGGGCCGGGCCGGCCGTCTGGTGTCGATTCCGTTCCAGACCGGGCCTCGAATGTGTAAGGGGTTTGGGATGGTTTGGGGCTTGAGGGCCAATCTGCAACCAGGCACTTGAGAGAGCCAGCTGGGGTTTAGGGGCATCCAATATCTGAGGCCTGCAAAACCAAGGGGTTTCAAGGTTTTTGGGCCGCCAGGTTTGGTTTTCGGAGTTCAGCATCCCGAGTTCTTGGCTGTAAAATGTAGCGGCTCTCCACTTCTGTGGCATTGGTCTAGCTGGCTTGCCTGGTAGGACGAATTCTCGCGCTTGCACCGCGCATTCTGCCAGCTGAAAGGTGGTACTGCGTTTCTGGTAGCTTGAATTTTTGTTTTCATCTTTTTTTTGCAGGCTGGGCTTTTCCATTGCCTGAAATCATGAACAGGAAACCCACAGATGAAGCTCACGTAACTTAGAACCTCTGAGTGAAAGTGCGGCCGAACCGACACAAAACACACGCAAGAAGCTTGAAGCCGTAAAGCATTCAGCAGTAGCCCCATAGGCAAGATTCGACTTGTGAGCGTGTCAGCACGCAGTCGGGAACGGTTTAAGTCATATAAGCGCTGAGCCTGAGAACTCCAAAACCTGGGGTTCGTGTGAGCTTTCTGTGGTATTTTCGGCGTGCCTGACATGTAGTGCTGGCACTTCCGCCACCCCTAAACCCTAGACTTCTTGGGAAGGTGCGAGGACCGCGGTGGACCTCCGCGCGCTCAAAGAGGCGGCGCAGATCCGCGCATGCAAAGCTTCAGGGGTTAGGGTTCTAGGGCTTAGGGTTTAGAGTTCAGGGTTAAGGGTTCAGGGTTTAGGGTTTAGGGGGGTTCAAAAAAGGGTTTAGGGTTTAGGGTTGGGGGTTTAGGGGGGTTCAAGAAAGGGTTTAGGGCTTAGGGTTGAGGGTTTCGGGGCTTGTGGAGTTGTGCAGACCAGGGGCTTTGTGGCCTTGATGCTTCGGGTTGCGAGCAGTATGCCCGAGTTTGCGACTATGGTTCGGCCAGCCTTCGAGCTCAGGCATGAGCTCAGGGTTAGGGTTTAGGGTTTAGGGTTTAGGGTTTAGGGTTGACTCCAAAAAGACTGTAGTTTCTGCTGAAGTGCAGGGATGTGTTAGTTAAACATTCCATATCTCTTAAATCGCTGTGACAGCATAGCTCACAAGGTCAGCCACACGCTATGCAACCATCCAATTGCATGCCGGCCACTCGTAAGGAGATCCAATGCGGATTTAAACTGACAAGGTACTTGCAAGGGGAAGCAGGCACGAAGCAATCGGAAGCTGCAAAGGAGGCTAGGAAAAGCTGCGGAAATCGGCTCAAGCCTTAGCACCTGAATGAAGATCTGCTGAATATTGCTGAACCGTAGTGCAGGTGGCATCAAAGCACTTGCTGGCAGCATATTGAAATCGACTAGGCCAAGCCAAGCCAGAAGCAAAGCCGACCCCAAGCCATCCAACGTAGATACGTCAAGCAGCTTCTCGCGCCAAGCAGCTCTCCTGAGTTCGGCCCTGCGCAGGAGCAGATTGCCATCGCCCGCGAGCGCATTTTCGGCCCGCAGGGGAACATGCCGTGAGCTTAGAGAGGTTTCGGGGCGTTGCGTCCCCACATCCTTCGCTAGAGCCGGCGCGTGGCCGCCAGAAACCTCGTGCGATTTCTCGCCGGCGGCGTTTCCTCGGCGATCGTGAAAAACTCCAAGCAGCAGCCAAACAATCGCAGCCCGGGTCTGACAGGTTCATAGGGGGTTCATTGGTTGTTGTAGTCTTAACCTTGGGGTGTTCCCCCTGATACTAACAGTCCTTAATAGGGGTTATCATAGGGGGTACTATAATCACTACTCAGGCCTGTTGGTATAAGGGGGAACATCCCAGTCTAAACCCCCTAAAAAAACCCTAAGCCCTTAACCCCCCAAGCCCGGCCAGTGCGCGAGGCCGGGCGACCGGCAGTTTCGGAAGCCCCTGGAGGGGCGGAGGCTCATGCGAGCGGCCCTTGGCATCTGGGGTCAGACTGACAGCATAGTGACAGCATAGGTTTAGGGTTTAGGGTTTGGGGGCAAAAAGGGTTTGGGGTTTGGGGTTTGGGGTTTAGGGTTTAGGGTTTAGGGTTTAGGTCGACAGCATAGTGACAGCATAGTGAGCACCGGGCGATGCAGGCCAATGCAGGTGCTTTTGCAAGCTTTGAGGGCCAGGGTTGACAGACATTTCTGGGGGCTGAGGGCTTACATGATGCTGGCCCACGAGTGGCTGCAGTGAGAGAGAGAGAGAGAGAGAGAAAAAAAAAAAATAAAAAAACAAACCAAAAACAGAGAGACAAAGAGAGAGAGAGAGAGAGGAAACAAAAACAGAGAGAGAGAGAGAGAGAGCGAGAGGGGTTGGAGGAAGAAGAGGGGGTGGTGGCGGAGGGCCTGAGGTTCTGGATTGCGGTTGGATGGGCCTTCAAGCCAGACACCGCTGCACAAGTTTTTGGAAAATATGTAGAACATGTGTATGTCACGGGTGTGTGTGTGTGTGTGTGTGTGTGTCTAAACCCTAAACCCTAAACCCTAAACCCTAAACCCTAAGCCCTAAACCCTAAACCCTAAACCCTAAACCCTGATCAGAAGAGCCCGAAATAGTGCAGACCCTGTGCCTGGCACCCTGAAGTCACCAAGCCTCGGCCTAGCCTTGCATGGCGAAACGGGGGCCGAGGCTGGTACTTTCCGTCGAAGTACAACCTCCAGGACTTCCGAACGGACGAGTACTACGAGATGCAGGCTTGAGGGTCATGTGATTGAGGGTTTTGGAACCCAAAGTAAGGAGCCTCTTCAGCCCAGTGTTGCGGAGCATGGTTCGAGATTGCACTGAGGCTGAATAAGACTTAGGGCAAGAATTGATACC